TTGCAACGTAGAACTTCGTACGTAAGTACATCAGTTCATGTCGCCATACCACATCAACACAGAGATATAATTGTCAATTCAAATCCAATAGTAGAAGAGGTAGTAAAGGTATTAGAAGTAATCGGAGGGGTTAGAATTAGAAGATATTATTCACGAAGTATGATTCAATGAGATAAGTTTAGAAAGTCAAAACTAGAGGTGTTGAAGAATCCAGAAGATTAGGATTTGAGAGAACACAAAGAATAAATGCACCGGCGCCATTGCGAACGATTTTGAGCCATGTCATTCAAGGTCTCTAACCATTGATGACTTTCGTCTCGCGGACCCCAACCAGGTAGTCGACAATTACCGACATGGCTAAGTCCACTCGTCAATGACTTCATGGATTTCTGCCATGTTTTGGTCTGGCCGCCCCTAGCTTTCTTCCAACCTATTCCTACACTATAAAACAAAGCTCGACGAGGGAGTCGGTGGTTAGGCATACGCAACACGTGTCCCAACCACCTCAACTGATGAAGTTTCGCCACTTCATCGATTGATCTGCCATTCTTACCTAGTGCCCGTTTCCTAATAACAGCGTTGCTCACTCGGGTATCCTACGATGTACGAGCAATGCTTCGAAGACATCTATGATCGAAAACCAATAACCGACGAGTATCTTCTACTCTCATTGGCCATGTTTCACAGCCATAAAGTAAGACGGAGCGAACCACTGCGCAGTACACTCGTCCTTTAGTCAGCAGACGGATATCTCGCCTACGCCATAAGTGACGCAGGTTGGCAAAAGCCAATCGAGCCTTCTGTATCCGTGCCGAGATTTCGTCAGTCACCAGGCCATCGGCACTGATGAGACTCCCGAGATAAGTGAAGCGGTCTACACGTTCGACTACTTCACTCCCTATCACTAGTTCAGGTGCCGATGAAACCCAATCTTGAAGCAACATTTTGCATTTCGAGGGGGAAAACCGCATCCCGAACATGCTTGCATTGTTGCTTAGGGTAGTCAGAAGACTCTGCATTTTGTCAGCGTCTTCACCAAGTAGGACAATGTCATCGGCATATTCTAAGTCAATAAGCGAGCCACCTGGTAAGAGGTCTACTCCAGAAAATTCAGACGAGGATAAGGTTATTTCTAGGAGCATGTCTATTATAAAATTAAACAAGAATGGAGAAAGTGGACATCCCTGACGGACACCACTTGATGTAGAGAATTCAGATGACAGTTCGCCATATGCTCTCACTCGACCAGTGGTGTTTGAGTAGAAAGCTTGTATGAGGTTAATGTACTTATTTGGTACACCTTTCAATGACAGACACTGCCACAGAACCTCACGATCCACTGAGTCAAATGCCGCCTTAAGGTCCAGGAAAACAACTATTGTAGGACGCCTAAATGTGTGTCTGTGTTCCAGGACCTGTCGTAGTGTGAAAATGTGGTCTATACAGCCACGTCCAGGTCGAAAACCAGCCTGGTTTTCTCGAGTCTGCTCTTCACGAGCTTTCGTTAAGCGTCGAAGTATTATTGAGGCCAATATTTTAGATACTATATTAGTTAGACTTATTCCCCTGTGATTGTCACAAGAAGACTTCTGTCCTTTCTTATAGATTGGGACAATCAGTGATTGAGACCAGTCGGATGGGATTTCGTCCAGTTCCCAGATCCTACCTAAGATCTCAGTCAACCTAGCTGCTAAAACTGGACCACCATCCTTAAATATCTCAGGGGTCAGTCTATCAGGACCTGCAGCTCGTCCTCGCTTCAGATTTCCTAACGCTTTTTCAACTTCATTAAGACTAGGGGGACTTACGTCGATTTGCCATTCAGGATGACTGGAGATCGTGGGTAACTGGAGTGGCTGGAGGCCAGTTGAACTGATCCCTAAAGTGTTCTGCCCATCGATCCAGTCTCCTGGATTGAGAATAAATAATAGTCCCGTCATTTTCTGAGATAGTCTCACTTACACTAGGATTCCTAATACCAGTTTCCTTGATAAGTCGGAAAAGTTGTCTACTGTTGCCGATCGCCGCTGCCTTTTCCATCGCTTTTGATTTCGCCACCCACCACTGTTCGCGATCGTTACGTAGGCTTTTTATAAGTCTGCGCCTAAGTTGACTTCGTTCTTCATCATGTTCAGAGCCATGTGGGATGAGTTTTCGGGCATCCATCAGATCGGTGGATGCTACTGAGATCCACGGTTTCATTCTAGCCTTATGGTCAACCTTACTAGCAGATATCACTGCTGTTTCCACAGCCTTTTTGATATCATTCCATCCTGCTTCCGGATGGGAATCGCTTAAATGGTCGCCTAACTGTCTTTCTAGTTGTTCCTGAAATATATTTTTCGCCTTATTATCATTAAGTAAAACCCTAAGAGGCTTTCTTACGGTGTCTTTCCTACGCCCAGTTGTCTGAGCATGCTTGCAACAGACGGTCACCATTGTCTGTTCTCTGAGCCGGGACACCATAACATCCACCTAGGTGTCTCTCCTGCTCACTTAGTCTACCTACTTGAGCATTAAAGTCACCAGCCATTATTACTATATCAGAGCGCCTAGCTTTTTGGAGAAGGTCCGAAAGCTTTCTGTAAAACTCATCCTTAACCTCGTCTGAACTGCAATCGGTGGGGGGCATAGGCAGATACGATGAAGAGGCAACGGCGATTGTCCCTATCTTTCCGAGTCCTTACTGTCCCGTTTAGTCGGACAGCGCACAATCGACTATCTATTGGGATCCAGTCAAGGAGAGATTGTTCTGCCCTACGACTCAATGCTATGCCTACGCCAGCAAGACCCCGGGAAGCAGCATCAGGGCTACCGGATACACAAAGAGTAAATCGAGCTGCTTCTTTATTTTGGCATGGTGTGCCCAAGTGTATGACGTGACTCGGATCTTGTATGCGCGTTTCCGAGACGCAGCATACATCGATGGCACGAGATTCTAAAATCCTAGCTAAGGAAGCCTGTTGCCCTATTTGACACAATGTCCGTACATTAAATGCTCCAACATGTAGTCTAGAGCGAGGTTTAAGGAGACCAGGAACGACGTTTCGCGAACTCGTATCGTCTGCATTAGCTGTACACTGTGATGAATGAATGTGAGAAGAGTTAGTCGTGGAGATAAGAGAGGTACTAGGGGGTGTAGGAAGGATTTGATTTTGACCGATTCGGTCTCCCGTGCTGTTATGGGTATGAGGGAGGTGGTCACTTTCCGGCTGCCCACACCGTGGAAGGTTGTTTCTTGAGGAACCTGAAAAGGAAGATAGATTAGTGTTGGTGCGTGACCGCAGAGCCCAAGGGACAACTGCTTGAGGCCAGTCACGCATGGCCTTTTTATCAAATGTTTTTTGAGGATTAGCTCCGTTCTTAAAGGCCCTTAGTGGGCACCCTTACCCAAGAAGACGGAAATCCGTGAGTTAGGGGAGGTGTGACATTTTTAGGGCCGACCTTTTCTAACCCTTCCTTCCTTGTGAGAAGGCAGCATCGCTGCAGATGCTGGTTGTCCGAGGGAAACACCTTACTGCTGTCACACCCCTCTGCAGTCAGCAGTACGACTTCGCCCTCAGACCTTGGTTAGCTGCTTTTAGTCTCATCGTTCTCCAATCGACCTGTCTGGCATGGTAGAACCTTCAGGAACATATGTTCCAGCCAGTATAGCTCGGTTGGGTCATCACGATAGGCAAGCGCGACCACCACGTCAAGGTAGCAGCTACGGTCGGGACTCTCTCTATTCATATTCAACTTTGTCACAGACACGCTTTTAGAGATAACAGTATCTTCGTTTGACTTTTTAGGAATTGAACTTTTACCAGGAGATTCGCTCGGTGACTTAGAATATGTCGATGACATAGTTTTATATGGTGAAGACCCTGACAAAATGCAGTCTTCTGACCACCTTAAACAACAATCCCAGCACTTTCGGGATGCGATTCTCCCCGTCGAAATGCAAAATGTTGCCTAACGATTGGCTTGCATAGGCACCTGAACTAGTGGTAGGGAGTGAAGTAGTTGAGTGTGTCGACCGCTTCACTTATCTTGGGAGTCTCACCAGTGCTGATGGCCTAGTGTGTAACAAATCTCGGCACGGAAATATAAGGCTCGACTGGCTTTTGCCAACTTGTGTCACGAATGGCGTAGGCGAGATATCTGTCTACCAACTAAAGGATGGTTTTACTGCCCAGTAGTTCGCGTATTCGACCATCGGTGTCCCCGAAGCATTGCTTGTATATCTTGGGATAATCGAGTAAGCAATGCTATTGTTAGGAAACGGATGCTAAGCAAGGATGCAGGTCAACTGATGATGGATTGCATCTTCATCAATTGAGATGTTTGGGACATGTGCTGAGTATTTCCAACCACCGAATGCCTCGACGAGAGATGTCGTCTGATGTAGGGGTGGGCTAGAAGGAAGCTAGGGACGGCCAAACCAAAACATGGCACAAGTCCATGAAGTCACTGAAAAATGGATTGAGTAATGTTGGCTAGTGTAGACTACTTTGTTGGGGCCAGCAAGACGATAGTAACTGATGGTTAGGAACTTTGAACGACATGGCTCAAAACCGTTCGCAATGGAGCATACATTCTATGTATTCTTCCAAATTCTAATCTTCTCATTCCTCTTGACGGTTTTTTCATCTTCTTAAATTAAATTCACTGGGTTATACTTCTTGAATAACATCTTCCAAACCTAATATTTTCGATTACCGCTAATATCCCCTACCACCATGGAACGCAAATTGACAATTCGATCTTTCTGTGCTTATGTGGTTTGGCAACTTAAACTGATGTTTGTACGTACATGCTAATTTCTATTTTGTAGCTGACTAACTGACTGGTTGTGTTTTATGAACCACACTATCGACGCTGTTTCTTACCTGAATGAGAGAGAAATTACAGTGAACTGCTATCTATATTCAAAAAATACATAAGATGGGGATAATGCTATTTATTTTTATAGTTATAGATTATAAACCAAGCTACATACAATTTTTATGAACAACACTTTATGGTCGATCTAGAGTCTTCAGTTTTGAAATGATATCTTCAGAAGTGTTATTTGCCACTGAAATACAATCTTCCTTTCCCATTTCTATAATAAAAAAGTAAGCGATAAACTCCGTAAAACTAACCGTAACGAGCAAACACTTTTGGTGTAATCCCTTCCGATTCACGAATCATAAACTTCACATGAGGATTTGCAGATTTTAGAGACAGATAGTGACGTGAAATGAAATCCCTGTAAGTTTACAAAAAAAATAATAATTTCTGAATAAATTTAAACAATCTATAAAAGTGATTGTCTTATCCTATAGAATCAGTCTGCGAAGAAATACATTTATACAATTTAGATGGATAGTGTTCATATGATTAGTGTGGAATTAGATTAATGCACAAGTGATTTCGGTCCAGAGAATAATAGTATATGTGATCAACAAAATGAATGGATCTGTTGATAAACTATATGGTGTTTCAGCATATAACTGAAGGGTTGTACAAGATTCAGTAGTCGCATGGTCAAAAAAGGACAATTTTAGACAGTGGATAAGCTTCATTGTCATAGTTTTAAGGGAAATCATATTATAAGCAAACTGGTAGAATGTTTGCAGTGATCTTGAGCACAGATAACAACAGCATGAAATAAAGGAAGTGATGATGACAATAAAATCACTTCTGAGGTGGTTGTGTTTAGTTACGTAGCAATAAATTCTTACTCTTCACGCAATTCATAAGCTCGAGCAGTTATCATTTTATGATGGAAAATAATGAAATATGTCATAAGTGACTTTGACATAAAAAACATCGATTCTTTGAAAAGATCACTTTGAAAGCAACTTAACAGCAACTTTTAACCAGAGATACCTTGAAATGAAATATGTATGAAGCTTCTATTAGTCATATAACTCCAAGAACTTCGGGTTATAAATGCCCGGAAATGTATTCCCATGTCATACGAATGTAAACTGTTGCTAATCATTGGTCCAGTTATGCAGGAAACGTGACTAAACTTTACTAATTCAAAATTATAGAACTTTGTATTAATGTAAACAATCATAATTGACAATCAAGAACTTTCACAAAAACAGGGACCTATTTTTGAAGAAAAACGGGCAATTAACAGACCTAATTCCAGAGCTCGAAGGAGCGGTTTGCGCAACGAGAAACCGAAGTTCTCTAACCTTGGGTCCAAATTTAGCCATAGCGCAGCATTTAAGCAGCCCACTGTTACCCAATGTTCAATATCTTTTCGAAGAGCTAGTATAGGTTGAATGATCTGTTTGCTTTGTCTCAGCATATTTTGGTCTTTAAAATTTTTAATTCTTGCCACAGTTTCAGTAGGATATCATGCTGTAAAAGCTATGTTTATTCTAGTGGTAGGAGTCTTTTAGTGGGTATTCTCTTTGAATGTGTCCACATAGAGGGTTGTTATAAGTGCTTAGCTGAAAAGTTCTGGTTTGCAATAATTTGGGTTGTATAATAGTTCGCCAATCGTAATCCCGAAAGTTTTGATTCCCATGCTGGTTAAGATTTTCCTTCAGAGTGTCTGCTGATATATCTTTATAATCGTTCAATAGAAAAAGAGGAGCTTATGATAAGTCTATTTGATCCTTTACCATGTGGTTGTAGAGAAATACCTAAAATAGACAGTTCTATAAGTCTATAACATTGGTGCTAGACTTGCTAGTTTCACTGGGCTCTTTAGCTAATTCCACTTGGTCAATCATTGGTGCCAAATCACCATCAGCTACTCCGTACTATGCGTCTCAAAAATATTTCAGACATCAACCAAATTTCAAATGTTTCTTCGACCAGCTCCTTCCAAGAGCTGGCAGGAAGCAGAAATTATCTGTCTTGCTGACATTAGTTAACTTTAGATCCAAATTTCCTTCAGAAAAGCGTCGTCGATTTTGTAAGGTTCAATCCATTTGCCAAATTGATCGAGGCGTCGACCTTCCCTTTAAGTCGCACTCATTCTGCAGTTGCTATGGTCGCAACATCTTAATGTATGCAGAGATGATTAAATTTTGTTCGAACCTGTTTACGAAACGAGTTTAATGATCCTAGTCATTTTATAGCTACTAGACGCAAAACCCTATGCACGACTGATTATCTTTAATGAAAGATCTATACCGTATGAAAACACTGCCATCTAGGCCTAGACCTGGGAATTTCGAACACTGGGGGATCGATGCCATTTACATCCTCACACTTGCTTTCTATTTAGTTCAATAATTCAAGAGACGGCAGCAGCAAACAACGTCCTCAAAACAACGTAGCAAACATTAAAAATGATGCAGAAGATTTACAGAATATGTAATGTAAAAATAAACATATATACAGACAGAGCTAATGATACCTCAAGGGTACTTCTTCCACTTGACAGAACTAACTTATCTCAATAGTAAAAATATCCCTATCAAGCAAATATATCTTACCATGAGAAGACATTTGGTCAATCTTATTTGTTCCAGAATCAACTAGAAAACCATAAATACAATTCACTATCAGTCTACAGTAGCAGATATTCCCAAAACAAATAGAGGACATGCTTCAAAATGATCATATCAGCGGAAGTAATTAACTCCCATAGTATCAACTAAAGTGTACCGAAAGCAGTGTAACAGGGAGTACGTAAAACTAAAATAAACCAATCACTGTTACCATGCAATAAAGTGATATTCAGAATTTGTATAGTAATAGCGATCACAATTAACCGCACGAATAAGAACAATTATACAAAATATGGGCAAAAATAAAAGAAACGTTAGATACCACAAAAATAAAAATGTCTAGTCACAAAAAGGAGAACAAGAGGGCATTATTAAAATGGATTTCACACGAGGCTTCATCGAAGAGTAAACAAATCACCACTTCGATACTGACAAATTAGCATTCGTTCAGTTGATGAGGTAAGGAGCTCTTAACAACACCCATATCAAAAAAATTAAAGTTGTTAGAGAGAGGAAATTAGTATTTTACAACTTTTAAGAACAGGAAAAAGCAAGCAGAGATAAACTGAAACCCAGATTGGTAGGTAGTTATGGAGGTCAAACCCTATATAAAAAAATTATTTAACACTTCAGAATTTACGTCAGACTGACTGAAAATTTCGTATGCTGTAAGCAGAGGTTCGTATTAATTTATTAATTTATTAATTCGATACTTAAAACGAAGTCCTACGCTACTGTTGTTACGATTATCATCTGTTTTATGTATGACTTCGTGTATGCAATTATATCTGCATTAGATATTTTATTTCAAGGATTGTGGTCACTTTTGGTGTATGAAGAGATTGATACTTCGGGAACTATTCAGTGGAACAGTGGAACCTTTTCCTACATACTATCTTGTTTCTACATTGTAGAATGTCGAAAGTTAAAAGCGATTCCGATTTTAATTGAAAATACGGCTTCTTCTAATACGATATCGGATTCAGGTCTGAGGCACTAATACTTGATTTGTCTGTGCAACCAAAATAATAGACCTATTTCGTAACTGTGGGCTTGACATGATGTAACTACCTGATTTATAAGTTCGTACTTATGAGTCGCATCATTGCCTATAGTGACTAAAACCATCACAGAGTTGCATGGAATCGTAAAATCCTTAAAAATATGTTCTTTATATGCCGTTAGAACGGTATCGCCGACAAGCCTTTATTTACACCCGAAAATACACTTCAAGTATGCTAATGGCTTATCAAATAAACTCTTAACGTAGATTTACAGGGAAGATATAAACTTACTTTGGGCCCGTAATCGCTAAATATTTGTATCACACAATGCCAACTTTTACTAAACTGTTAACGCCACGTATCCTGGTTGGAAACGTACTTGAGGTCGGAACCTGAAATCCATGACACTTTGAACTACGTTCCGTACAAGAAGCTTTGTGTAACGTTATCGATACTTCCACGAGTCATGTTAACGCAAACGTCTGTCAATATCTGCCTCACTCCAAACTCTCCAGAACTTCAGCAGAAAAGAGTCATCTCTTCTAAGTCGCTCACTTAAGTGTTTACAAGCACTTTCCACACGATCATTTGTGTTGTAGCAAGGGATTAGGGAATTTCGGAAATAACGGAGAGCATAAATTACCGTCCAGTTAGTCCAGTGACCTCTTATGTAAATAAAACGAGTTCTCAGATATACGTATTTATGTGTGAATTCGACTGTAATGGAATATGAAATGTATAGCCTATTTATCAGCCCTCCTCGTTTCCACAAGATCTCTAAAGCATTTTGCACATCAACATGTCCGTGCTACAACAATTATCTTATACAGTAAACAATTTCTAAAAAGGTCTCTCAAAACAAGAATCCATAAACCTGTAGAATTATTTCGCCGGTGGCTGTCCTAATCGCGTCCAATAGAAACACTCCTGTACGTTACTCCTAGATCCAGGTCCCAGCCAAATCAAAAGGTCAAAATTTCTAGGAGAAAACGTCTCTATATTAATATAAAATGGAAATACAGAGGCTTACGGTATTTTTGTTTCTTCCAGGACTAAATTACTCCGTAGAGTATCTATTACAATAGCTAGTAAGTGACACTAAGTCCAGCAGCCACCGCGTCTATCCAAAAATGTGGCGGTAGCCATATTATATCAAATTTAAACAATATATGTACAGCTCAAAAGCAAACACAAAAACTTCAATATAAGTACAAAATATGGAAAGAATAACAACATACAATGGTAAAATCTCAAATTGGAATCAAATAAAATACCAAAAATGTCAAGAGAAAAGGTCCATCATGTCATAGCAAAAATATGTAAACATGGAGGGATTTTCCAAAACACAAAACATTCAAAAAGAATTCTACACCGGCCCGCAAAATCCCTCCATGCAAAAACAGCAAGCGTTAATGACACCTCATTTAGGGTTCCCATGTTATCCCCTAATCCACACCGGAATAACGTGTAGGACTTACAGCAGTACGCCTACCCGCCATCCAACATGGATATGACCTATCGCGCTAACTAGATACCTATACTTTCCCATCAGGCCCTTGATTCCCCTATCTATCGTGGAATGACCTAACGGTAGTATAAACCTTACCCAATTAACCCATACGAACATGAACAACGCGTCGCAAAACTGGTCATATCCTATCCAAGGACTACATTCTCTATCGTGGGGACGAGTCGCCAATCCACCACCACTTGCTCTGATCAGCAGATACCATGAAGTCCGTGATGCCAACTTATCAACAGAAGTTTTTGACCCATAAATAATATGCAAGGGTGGGATTTCCAATTTTGACATTTCATCGTCTCCAGAGGACCTTAAGTAGCATGACGTAGGATCAATATTTATCCTTCCATCTCCTGATGCAGAGGAGGTTTGAACAGTATCCATCATCGTCGGTAACTCATTTGTCACATCAGTGACATCCAGTTTATTATCAACGTCTAAATGATTCCGTTCTGCATTAGCATCCGTTTCCGCGGCACAAGACATATGCTCAACAACAGCATCGTCATCACACAGCACTGTAGACTGGCCGTTACCATCAAACATTTTCTTCTCATCATCACTCGACTGACAGTCAACCGTAATAGGAACAGTTACAGTTGTTACGTCCAGTTTTTTGCTCGTCGATCTTACGAAGCACTGTTGTCGTCTATTGGTAATTCAAGGTCCCAAATTTCTATACCAAGAACGAAACTCCAAAGTAGATACCAAAGTTTATTCCAAATCACAAATTCCACCAAAATAATTTATTACAAATAGACGACCAATGTCGTTCTAACAACAATAATTATAATAATTACAATTACCTTCTAATTTATTATCACTTGGAGCAAAAAACTGCAACGAACAACAAAGAGAAACGGGAGTCCAATATGTCCGCAAATAATAATTCAAACAAGTTCACAAGTTAAGTAAAACAAATGTACCCAAAAACAGTGAAATTAATGATATTTATACATGAAGGTTTTGATCAGCAAAATGTCTTCGTTTCTCCCGTAACACTCCCGACCAAAAGAACCTTGGTTCTTTTCACCGACAAAAATATATAACAACAATCCAAGTATGTGCATCACAAGCAATCAACAACAAACATTCAATATAAATTCTACACCGGCCCACAATATCCCTCTAAGCAAAACAAGCCCTTTCTAACACTTCAATTTACGGTTCATTCTCATCCCCTAATCCACACCGGAAGAACGAGTAGGACTTACAGCAGTACG